GGCCACATTGGTTGCAATTATAGTACAAAAACAAAGTCAGTTTATAATAAAAGAGGCTGTCCAAAGATTAAAATTTGTTCTTTGAAGTCATATTTACACAATATAGCCACATATACATGTTAAAATTAAAAATGTCCTCATTAACTGAGACTAAATTATCCTAATCTAACTGTTTTAGTTTGCTTGTAATGACCATGATTACTTCTATTTGCTAAATTCAAAAATAATGAGTGAGAAATTTTGTTACCTGCTTTTAAACTCCGGAGTTGACATAAAATGAATTAATACAAAGTAATGCTTTGTAAACTGTGTGACGTTGGGCATTTATCTTTGACAAGCTTCTTACCATAGTTAATGAAAAGCTTGACCCAATTATTGACTGAACTGGTGTAATGAATTGGGTTTATAGGGTGCCTTGCTCACAGACGCCTTTCTAACACTACAAAAAAAATTTTATTATTTTTTTTAATGGGATTGACATCAAGGCTTTGAGATCTCCACATAAGATTTTCTGTCGTTAAAGCCATTTTATTGTTAACTTGGCTGTCCGCTGAGGGACATTATCCTCATGCCCAAGCATCAGCTTTCCTGTTGGTGTCTTGAAAAGTTTCTTCAGCTTTTCCACTGCCATGTCTTCATGATGTCATCCATTTTGTGAATGATGCTGCCAACAGCTGTACTTCACAGTTGGGGTGCTGTTCTCAAGTTGGCAAGCTTTCTCTTTTTCCATCAAATGTAAAAATGATCATTATTGTCAAAAATCATTTTTTGTTTCCTCAGACCACAAGACAAACTTAAGAAAGTTGTCACTGAATGGATTTGCAAACAGTGACACCTTTTTTTTATTATTTATTTGTTACTTTTGGAGTCGTGGCTTCTTTCTCCATGATTGGCTTGACTGTACAGAGTTTAAAATGATTGTGAGCTCTTAATGGAAAACATGCTTCAAAAGCCTTTTTATACATGACTTTTGAGTCTTTGATGTCATGTAGTGTTGCACATTTCGTTGCCCTATAGAAGAGATACAGGCCCACAGCATCATAGATCCTCCACCGTGTCTAACAGTGGGCCTATTTATGATCTTTCACATTGAACCCACCTGGAGGGTTTTATTGCCAAAAACTAGATCTTGATCTCATCCTGTCTACATGTTAACCCCACTCTGGCCCCTCTGCCTCCCCCTGCAGGATCCCAGCTCCTTTGGGCTCCTCTTTGACATAGATGGGGTCCTGGTCCGAGGCAGGACCCCGATCCCAGCAGCCAAGCAGTGCTTCAGAAACTTGGTGGACCGCCATGGGAAGTACAAGGTTCCTGTGGTCTTTGTTACAAACGCAGGGAACTGCATGAGGCAGACTAAAGCTGAGCATCTGTCTCAGCTGCTTGAGGTCGAGGTAAACTGAGCTACATCTAAACCATTAAATTATCTTCTTTTCTATCCTCGGGGGTTTTCATGAGCTTTCTTTTCTCTCCTCTTTCCTCAGGTGTCTCCAGACCAGGTGATGCTGTCCCACAGTCCTTTGCGAATATTTACCCAGTTTCACAAAAAGTGCGTGCTGGTCTCCGGTCAGGGTCCTGTCGAGGAGGTGGCTCACAAGTATCCTATCTTATCTGACGGATCCTCCGCTCATGCTGGCTGTTTGCCTAAGCCAGTCTGTGCATGATCTGTTGATTTAGTGTGTTTTGGTGCAAGCTCCACTTTGCTATCAGCATTTAATCTTTGTACCCATGGCAGCAGCGAAGCCTTTCCACAGATTTCTTCCTTTTGTTTAAATGCTTGGTTAACTTTAGTCCAAAGTGAGGTGATTTAGAAACAGGCACTGGGGGTCATGCAAGGTTTTCAGATTCTTTTCAGAAATCACAGCAGAGAGCAAAAAGGATTATGGTGAAAGCATAATTTTACTCTATATATACAAAGAATAAAACAGTTCTCACAAAAGTACACTGGTTGTTGATGCCCTCTGTGTAATTGATGTTTTAGTAATGCTAGTTTACTGAACAGATTAACTTCATCAGTTTTTACCCAGAGTAGAGGCTGCAGTTTGCCTTTTTCCAGTTGAATTCATTAAAATTGTGAGTATCTGTGGCTGGTACAATAAGCCCTACGGCAGTTCTTACAGGACTCTTTCTCTTTAAGACTACAAAGTTACGACCTCCGACCTTTTAATCCAGTCAGGGTCAGTTGGAAGCTGACGGGTTTGGATACCATTGATTAAGCCTTTACCTTCCACAAAATGATGGGTTGGTACCTGCTGGCACACAAAGCAGTAAAGCATTCAAACCTTGATTGATTGATTGATTGATTGATTGATTGATTGATTGATTGATTAGCCTGGCTCTTATCCCGAAAGAAAGTTGCCTTCAACACCTTCAGAAAATGTGTTCTTTGAACTTGCTGATCTGATCTGATTGTGACCTTTAACTCACAAAATCCCAGCCTGGGCTTTGAGGACGTGGTCACCATAGATATGATCAGAGAGGCGTACCCTGTCCTGGATGTTGTGGACCACAACAGAAGGCCCAAAGACTTTGTAAGTGCCACTGATTGTTGTGTCCTGTTTACGCGTCATGAGTTAGACGTCAAACTTAACCGTTTAATTTCTTACAGATTCCACCCAACAAGGACTTGCGGCCAATAGATGGTATGTCTCCCTCAAACAGGCAACTTATACAAACATAGACGAGTTTATTTATCAAAACGTGTGAAAAGTCTTAAAGTTATTTCACATGTTATTGCAGTAGCATGATCTCCATCCATTATCCAACATGCTGGTGGGGTCAAGAGGGGTGCTTGTGCCTCTCTCCAGCTGTCAACAGGCGAGAGCAGTAGCATAAATTTACATATTTATTTCATCCACTGATTAGTTTTGCTTATTCAGTGGGAGAAAATGTTTGTTTTAAGATATTGTTTTTGATAAAAAAAAAAAAACTATAAGCTATAACTATAATCATTGTATTGTACAGACATGTTTTGTCAATAGGACAGCATTTAGTGCTTTCCTATAACAATTTACAAGGTTGGAACATACAAAGAGAGCTCTTTGGCCGTTCCTCTTTGTATAGATAATACAGATTTCTCTCTTATTCACTTTTTTTTCTTCACTGCACAGTTTTTCTGTAGGATTTAGGTCTGGGTACTGAAATGGCTGTAGACGTTGATTTCAGGTCTGGTGAACTATTTCTGTATTTTGGATCACTGCTGTACTGAAAAATCCAGTGATCACCTTTATTAGTTAACTGCCGAAGTCCATCAGGTTTTTAATTAAAATGTTCTGATATTTTAACAAGCTCATGATGCCAATCACATGAATAGGCCCACAGTAACACAGATCTCCCGCCATACTTCAGTAGTGATCTCGGTTGCCTTTCCACATAGCCATAATTTTTTCACTCAGAAACCAAGTGGAGTGTTTCTGAAAAGCTGACATGTTTTATCTGATAAACATTTGTAACCCAACCTGTTTTAAGAAGATTGCAGCTCACAAGTTCACAAATCAGATGGCATGTTTTCACCATTTTCGTTATTAACGTTGTTTTGAAACCCTCAAGTTGCCACTCTTTGCTGCAGTTCTCGCACAGAGATTTTTTTAATAGTGGCAAGATATCTGTAGATCCTCACTCTGGCCAGTGACTAAAATAAATAGTTCTGCTATACTGATACCAAACATCCAAAGTTTCCCAAACTCTGATCAACTTAACAAAGGTAAGTATACATTAAACTGTTTCAGTTACATTTATTTTAAAGTGCCAGATTTATCAATAATTGTGCCACTGGGGATCCTGTTAGACAATAGTTTGTTGTTACAGGAGTAAATGTATAAATTAAAGATCAGTTCTTCTGAAATGTTCAGTGCGCGGTTGTGCTGCTCCAATAACATATTCTTATTTTAAGGCTTTTTACACATCAGGGATGTAAATAATCGTGGTTGGCATCATAAACAGATATTTTATGAAAGTTAACTTCTTTACAGACCATATCTTGCTTTAATGTCTGCAGCCATAATTTTATTCGGTGAGCCAATCAGATGGGAGACCAACCTTCAGCTCATCATTGACGTTCTTCTAACCAACGGAAACCTGGGCAATACGTGGAGCTCGACCCAGTATCCTCACATCCCGGTCCTGGCCTGCAATATGGACCTGCTGTGGATGGCAGAGGCGAAAAATCCAAGGTTTGTCTAGCAAGTCATAGCAAATGCATAAATATTTATTTTTGAAGCATTGAATACTGAGTAGTTCTCATGTGGCAGGTTTGGACATGGCATGTTCCTGGTTTGCTTAGAGAATTTGTACAAGAAGGTCACAGGTTATGATCTGAAGTATGAGGCTCTGATTGGTAAGCCGAGTGTGGTGACCTATAACTACGCCGAGCTGCTGATTAGACAGCAGGCGGCGAAGCTCGGCTGGAACACACCTGTGAAGACGCTTTACGCTATCGGGTGAGTTTATTTAGTCAGGGTTTGACACTAAGAAGAATAAGAATAATCATAATATGATTATTTTTATTTTGACAAGAGTTTTCTTTTGCCCAACAGAGACAATCCCATGGCAGACATATACGGAGCCAACCTCTACAATCGGTACCTTCAGGCCTCTAAGCATACCAAAGCCAAAGTGCAGGCCAAGAGCTGCGGAGGAGGAGTGGATCCCACCGCTCAATCTGTCGACGACCATCATAAAATGACATCGGCGGAAATGGGCGGCGCCACTGTCGCCTACGAGTCAAGGGAGGATCTTCCCGAGGCCTGCAGCTCCATCCTGGTCTGTACAGGAGTGTACAGCAGAGACCAGCAGGAGCTGCCGTCAGACCCGGCGCAAACGGTTACCGAGCAGCACATCTTCCACGGCCACAGGGACTTCCGCTTCGACCCCACCCTCACACAGCCCTCCTTCGTGGTGCAGGACGTGAAAGAGGCAGTGGAGTTGGTGTTCCAGCAGGAAGGCTGGCCTCTAGAGTAGCACCCGGGGATATTCAAATAGCTTATCTTTCTTGAAAAAAACCCAAAAAAAAAACCTTTCTTTGTATTTTGGCTGTTACTGTGCAATTCAGAGTATATGCAACAAGCAGTTATAACCTTAACACTACAATTTACAGTGGCTCTTAAAGTCTACATGTCAGGTTTTATGATATTGAAGAAAAGGGAGCATGATGAAACATTTGAAAACTCTTTCCACCATTAATGTGGCACATATCATGTATGGATTTGTTTGCTTTCGGAAAAACAAAGAAACCTGTTTAAAAAAAGCATAAGTGTGCACAACCTTAAGCTAATCCTTTTGCACTAATTCAGCATTCAGCCTTCTTTAGTAGGAATCACAATACCACATCTTGACTTGATGGTGTTTTCTTTCACTCTTCTCCAGATTCTCAAACGTTCTCCAGATCTCGATATGTAGGAATGCATCCATTTTCCATAGCCCACTTTAGTTGACACCAAAGACCTCTGGTCTCTGGCTAGAGTTTCCCTAAACTTTATTTTGTAATTAAATTTATGGCTCACCAACACGTCTCTGCAGAACCTAAAGAAGTATTGAGGAGATAATTGAGTAGTAGGAGAGTGTTTCTCAACAACTAGAGCTGGAGATCCCTGGCATAGATTCACTGTGTAAAACATTTTACTTTTAACTCTCAAGCAGACATCTCCTTGATATTTGAAATTAATCAGAACTTTATCCGCATTGACTAAAAACCTCAGGTTCATGTAAATAAAAGAATGTCAATAGTGTCTTTTGATAAATTCTGGGGGAAAGTGCAGTGTTTTAATAACCTTTGTACTCTTGATACTTTCTCCAATTATTCATTTTTGTACCACAAAAAGCATTTTATATCGTAAATTGTTTTTTTTGTATGCTCTTCTCCTGACTGCTACTTTTGTAACATGGGGTCCTTTTGAACCTTTGTAAGCCATCTACAGACTATCCCTTTAGCAACAGGATGCAAATGCAGAAATGTCAGAAGAATCTAGTTAGACAACAGAATTTTAATGTTTCATAATAATTGATGGTGGATGTGAATTCATAGAGTAAATACTAAAAATTAAAATGAATAATCACTGAAATGATTCAGTGATTATTTTAAGGGTGTGCACACTTATTCTACCAAGTTTACAGTTTTTTTTAATAATTATTTTCTCATTTGTTTTCTTGTTTTTAAAATGTGCAGGGTAAATCTCGCGTATCCACACAATATTTTGAAATTATTAATCAAAGTCTAACTGTTCACATCGCAAACACTTTGTTTTTTAAAAGAATTGTGTATACTTTGGAGAGGAACTGTCAGTCTAACCTGCCTGATTGTTTTTTGTTTAGTCTAAAAATAGGGTTTTATGCATTAAAATGTATAACATTTACCTGCTTTTAAACCAATTACATTCGCTGTCAGGTTTTTTACAGTACACAATATGTTGAAGAATGTTTGAATCAATTTAAAGCAAAGGCTACATTAGCACAAATGTGGTTTTGACCTTAGGCTTTTAAGGTCAAAAAGCACTTATTGAAATGATTAATTTTATTTTTCTAAATAAATCCCCCTTTTGTTTTCTTATACTGTGATGGTTGATATATTCCATCCCGATTGGTTTTTAAGTCAGGGTTAATGCTCAGGAAATTAAGTTGCCAATATTTAGTTTAGACTTTGAAAAATGCAGTGTTTTGGATTTTATTCTCTTTTTATGCTTTTGTAAAGTTGACAGAATTGCACTGTTGGAGTGTATTAAAAATGAGGTGCTGTTTGACAAGTGAACATGAATGTTTGCTAGGTTAAATGACATGGAGAAAGTTGCACCTGTTCTGTAATGAAGATTTAAAAGTGATGGAAACTTGCAGACTGACACTTTGTAATGTACTGTAAAAGCAATATTTTGTAAAGGAGCAAATAAAAAGATAAAGGAAGCTAAATGTAGAGTGAAAACGGTGTTTACTGTGGTGAGGTTTTAGTACAAAGTCCTCTGGCAAAGGTGTGGCTTGTTGTCAGAAGCCCCCGGAAGAATGTTACAAACCTGTTAAAGATCCCAATAAGATTCATAAATACTATGGCAAGAAAATGTATAAAATCTTTGTCTCGCAACCTAAACCAAACATACAAACATTGTCTTTACAAAGAAGGTTCTTTCCTGGTCGAACAACCAATCCATTAGGCCATCTTCAAATTTGTATCAAATGCTAAACCTGACTCAGGTTGTTTGGCACCCGCACTTTTTATCGTCAGAAACGGAGGCTTGAATCGGGTGAGAGCAACCACTCAGCATGAACTGGGGAGAGCAAAGAGAGTTCTGATCTGTGATGGCCATGCCGTTGCGTGCCAGCAGCTCCCGAGCCATGAGGGTGAAGGCCGCCTCTATGTTCTGGGCCTCCTTAGCCGACGTCTCCAGAGCAGCCAGCAGGCTGTTCTTTTCAGCCAGAGTGCATGCGTCCTCAAACAGCACCTGTCTCTGAGCATGGAGGTCTGACTTGTTACCTGCAGAGCAGAGGATGTCAGCGTCTGGATTTTCATTATTCTCTCCATCAGTAAAATACACTTTTTATACGAGGAGAAGCATCAACTCAATATGTGGTGAAATTAAGAAAGATAATGTTCAGTTTTGTTGCTTAAGAGACTCTTCACATTTTGTCACATGACATCCTCAAACTTCAATGTATTTTATAGGATAGAAAAACACAGATCATTGTGTCATTTAGATAAAGGATCTTAAAGCAACTCGTTAGGACCATAGTAACTCTGGAGGAGCAGTAAACATCCACAGATCAGGTGGAAGAATCTGCCAAAAATTCTTAGTCATGAACTTCAAAAATTTGGCCTTTATCAATTTGCTAAAATTAGATCTTTGGCATGGTTAAACAAAAAATAAATACTGTGCTTTTTAAAGTAAAGCCATGTAAGAGTACAGAGCAATTATGTAGAAGAATAAGAAGAAGAAGAAGAAGAAGAAAAAACCTGGTCAAATGAAACAAAAACATAACATTGTATCCTACAAGCAAAAATATGATGTGCTCTGAAGAACTAACACTGCACATCACCCTGAACATACAGTTTCCAATGTGAAACACGGTGGTGGCAGCATCATGTGTGTTAGAGGTTTGATTTTGCATGGAGGTTCACCATCTAAACATACAGTTGGGGCTACAGCAGACTGAGTTAGATGGAAGAAGTAGTTAGCTAAAAGAATATCCCAGCCAATGTATGTTCAGAGAGAGAATTAGTATGAGATATTTTGTATATAGAAGATTTCAGCTGTACTTGTAGTTAATCGTGGTTTGGGGGTTTAAAAACAAATGCAAGACAAACTTTCCAGCACCATATAAGGAAAATTGAACTCCAAGTATTTATTAAAAAAAAAAGCCAATAAAATGCATTGAGATTTGTGGTTGTAACATGAGATAACTACTCCACTATGAAAATACTTACCAACAAGTATCACTACCACGCTGGCTGCTCCGTACTGCTCCACCTCCCTGATCCAGTGGGGAACAGATTCAAACGTGCTGCGGCGGCTGATGTCGTAGGCCACCATGGCTCCATGTGCGCTGCGGTAGTAGCTCTGTGTTATGGTGCGGAAACGTTCCTGTCCAGCGGTGTCCCACACCTGCATCTGAAGGACGACACAGCACCAAAAATATGGGTTAACTAGTTTATCGGCGTGGGCTTGGTATCAAAATACATTGTATTTAACTGAAGCAAATAGCCTTATGTTTGTTATGTTGTTAATAATGTTCTAAAACAACTTGGCTTTAACAAACCAACACACCCAGAGAGCAAACACAAAGGTAACAACAATAAGTGAAATGACACAAGCATAGCATTATTTTTATTTGAATATAGTTGATGGTGACTTCAGGAACAGTGACCAATAGTTTCATAAATATGGATAAATTTGACATGACAGCCATTAAGGACATTTCCTACACAAGGAAATAAGTCAATATACTCAGCCCTTACCTGGTAGTGCTCATTCTAGAAAACATTTATGTAAATGAAGAGAACTACAAAGTACCCACCTTCACCTTTTTTCCATCAATGTCCAGTGTTCGAACGGTGAAGTCAACCCCAATGGTGTTCTGCTGCTTCTCAATGAATATACCCGACTTGAACCTCTGCACCATGCAGGTCTTTCCAACATCTGAGTCCCCGACCAGGATGATTTTAAAAAGAAAGTCAAAGGAGTCTTCAACTTCTGACTCGACAGACTGCATGGTGACAAAAACAAAGAGCCTGAAATGCAGTATCCCAAGACCTTTGTGCTTCTTTGCAACAGAACTGGTTTCCTGTAAGTTGTGTCAATACAGGAGAGAGTATTTACATAAAGCTCAATCACATCTTTGTGAGGAAATATAAGATTCACGAGACAGGCAACATATCGAGCAATGGAGTCCAGGGCAAAAATGTCCCATTCAGGTTAGAAAATGTGTGGATAAAAAAAAAAAGTCAAATCCAATCCAGCAGCTTGTTTCTTCTGTCATTCTAACCCAATCTAAACCATAGAGGTAACACACCTCAAAAAAACAAAGGCATTAAAACTCATTTTGCTTTCTTGTAAAGAAACAAAGCCTAAAATACAAAATCGTTTTCTTCATGATGACTTCGTCAACACTACACTATCAGCTCCTCTGCTGAAGTCTGTACTCTTGCCCTTTAGACTGTCTTTTGTCGTCCTATTCTAGTTTCTGTCACTCTGAGAACCTAAAGGACACGCCTCCTACCTGTCTTGGCAAATGTGACCTCCAGCTTCCAGCCCACTTGCACCACTGCATCTTGGGATATTAGTTTTCTGCTCAAGGTCTAAAAAGAGGTCACTGTACCTGGAAGAGGCAGATACAGTTGTGGTCAAAAGTGTACATACACTTGTAAAAAATCATAATGTTATGGCTGTCTTGAGTTTCCAA